TACCTTATTATTAGCTGGGGCTAATAACATATTGTATGTTAATTACAAAAAAATTTTTTTAAAGAACTAGAATATTATTTTCTCAGCTGTAACATTCATTAGTTGTTTGATTGTGAGCAATTAGTTTAGTCTCTTCATGCCTATGTTTTCCCATTTGTAAAACAGAAATAATAATATGTAGCTTATAGGAATATTGTGAAGCACAATTAATTTTTGTAAAGTGCTTTTTAACAACTTCAAAGTCATAGAAATGTAAAATAGCCTTAATTAAAAAAAATTTTTTTTAAAGGCAACAAAAAAATCTGGACAGGATAACTTACTCTATGCCTTCACTTCTCCTCCTGGACTCAGATTAGAAGCTACTAACACTACCATGCTTCTCTTCACATGGATGGATGGGTAATGAGCATGGTATTAATGAACTCCCTATTTTAGAATTGATGTATTCTGGGTCCTTATTGCCGTTGTTGCCTTAGTTTTATAGAAATTCCAACAGGGACCGTGGTTCTCAGAATATTATTGGTATTCTTACAGTTCCACCCTCACCCTGGGATTCTGCCTAATGAGAATTTCAGTGGTTTCTGATCCCCACTTTCTGTTCAAATTAGCTTCCCCTATGCCCTCTCCCACAATATCATAGATGATGGGATTTACCTTTCCTCAGGCCTCAATTTATCCTTCTTCCTTAGGGATATAATACTAGTAATTGGAACCATTCTAGGAATAGATCATATTAACCAGACACACTATAAACCAAAATAGTCTTACTATCTAAATCCTGAAGATATGTGTAGCCTATTTTTAAGAGTGGCCAAGGGCCAGAATGGCTAACATAATAGTATTCTGAAGAGGAGAATCCACAGCTGATATTTGCTTAATCTCTGAATATTTTGATAATTACAAATAAAACCTTAAGAACTATTCCTTCCCTAACTAAAACTGTATACTTACACATTCAAAGCACAAGTAATGCTTGAAATGTCCTTGATAAAAGAGATCTCAAGGTATCCTTTAGAAAACATAAAGATATAGTGTGTATTGGAGAGCCAAAAGGCACTATCCAAAAAACAGAAAGTAGACCAAGGACAATTAGAAATATTTCTTGGAGGGCGCCTAGGTGGCTCAGTGGGTTGAGCCTCTGCCTTCTGCTCAGGTCGTGATCTCAGGGTCCTGGGATCGAACCCCACATCGGGCTCTCTGCACAGCAGGGAGCCTGCTTCCCCCTCTCTCTCTGCCTGCTTCTCTGCCTGCTTGTGATCTCTCTTTAAAAAAAAAAAAAAAGAAAGAAAAGAAATATTTCTTGGTATCAGCTCACCATCCCCTATGCTAGATACAATGTAGAGTTAGTTCAACCCATTTCTTTGAGTGTCCACTTTGTAAAACTTCCCATAAAAACCAGATCCTCTCCTCCCATGTTCCCACCATCACACTGTTGTTGGGACTTGCTCAGGAATGATAGGCATTTCTGCACCATGAAGCTGGCACTGAATAATATTAAAACCCCCTGAAAATGAGCCTTAATCTGAGCATGAAAATGTATAGTCTCACATGGCTCTAGCTTTTATAACTCTTCTCCCATTATTCTTTATTTTCCCTCACCTCCAACTGAGAAAATAACCATGAGGTCCAAGTTTGCCATGAATTGAGAACAGGGTGTGTAGATGGACAGATGTTCTAAAAGTGATTTTGTATACTTGTGGGAAGGTGGAACCCATATGAATACTCATGAAAGTTTCTATAATATTTGCCTTGACCTTGTAAGATCAGTAATGTTGAGGGCAGATTCAGGCAGAACAAATTTCCAGCTACCATATACCCCGTGATCTCCAGCAAATACAAGAGTTTAGTCCCCTTCTCAGGCTCTGGATGGGAATCCAGAGGCCATAGAAAAATGGGTCACTCCTGCCACCAATGCTCAGTTGACATACCCAGGAGGAGAAGCAACCTCCAACCCAGTGGTTGCTATAGGTACAGCTTCTCCACCCTCAGGCTCACATCTCTTCCTCTTCTGCATCTAGAAAGATCTGGGGAGCCACATCCCAGAAACTTTTCAAGAGAGAGGGGTCTGACTGGTTACAGATGTTACAGAAACCACCTGCCATGCCATGCCCCCTTCTTCCCTGAAGAGGAAAAAGTGTGTGCTTTCCTTTTTCAAAAAGACTGGGGAGCACAATGAACATACTCTTCAGATGAAAATATGCAATGAAAAGAATTGTAATATCAGTGAAAGCATGATGAATTTGTTAATAAAAAGGAGGACTTCTCCAGTACTTTCCCAAAAGTCTCATGAAAGCCAGAGTGTTATCTCACTGTTTCTTACCATAAAATATGTTATTTTAACAAGTATGCTCTGGTCTCAGTGTACACATTACATGTAGAAAATTGTAGTCTTGGGGTGCCTGGGTGGCTCAGTGGGTTAAGCCTCTGCCTTCAGCTCAGGTCATGACCTCAGGGTCCTGGGATGAAGCCCCGCACAGACTCTCTGCTCAGTGAGGAGCCTGCTTCCCCCTCTCTCTCTGCCTGCCTCTCTGCCTGCTCATGATCTCTGTCTGTCAAATAAATAAAATTTAAAAAAAATGAAAAGAAAATTGTAGTCTGGACTTTTACCCAAAATCAGGATGAATATTCAACTTGGGACTTTAAAAACCCTTGAGAAATTGTCATATAATTTCCTTGAAAAATCTTGGCAGAGAACAGTGTGGACATCTGGGAGTCAGTGTCACCACTCACAAGGGAAGATAAATACAAAGGTTGCATCAGTAATTCTCATTCTCAACAGTAACCAATTAGCTGCCCCTAAGACACCAGCTGTAACTTTACTTTCTGCCCCCGTCTCTTCAGCATCCTATAAGGCCTAGAGGTCCACACTTTCTGCTCACTGGCTGGGTCCATCCTGTTTGGTGACCAAACAGTCTTGTGGTAAAACTATCACAGAGCCTCAGAATTGTGTGTCAGCATCTCTTCACTGTTGATGCAGTAAAACGAGGATGCTTCTCCACGTGGAAAGGTGAGCATATAATGGAAGGGCATATGCAAGAGAAGGTGTTTGGAGCAGGTGTGCCTATGACATGGAGCACTGCCACAGAAGGATCCTCATCTCAGCAGCACCCAGGGCTAAACCAGTAAGAAGCTGTGTGCTCCCATTAACTGCTATAGGAGGTGACAGCAGTATTGCATGTTAGGTGGGCTTCTATCAGTGGGGAAGGCAGAGCCAGACATTTCATGAGCACCCTAAGTAGTCTAGGAGTCCAGCTCTAGCCCAGAATTCAGAGCAGTGAAATGTGCTTGTTTTAGTCCCTCTGTTCCTTTCTGGGGTTTCAGTGGTCCAGGGTGCCATGTGGCCTTTTTTCACTTTGGAAACAGGCACTGGCAGCCAGAATACTGGCAGCATGGGATGCATATTCACCGCATCCCCTCCCCTTCCCTGACCCATCCAGGGGCCCCAGGCTGTGACAAATGACTTTCCTTCTCTCTCCTTTCCCTTCAGCCCAGAGCAAGCTTTTGATTTCTTAGAAGACAATAACTGCAAAGGAAGGAAGCGCTACCCTCTAAATGGTGACTCTTAGCTGAATGCCTGTCCTCAGGCATCCTGGTAACTTGGTGGATTTACTGGGGTCAACAGGAACAGAAGGAGTGTCTCCTTCAGGCTGTGCCACTTAGGGGTGAGCTGCTCAGTTCCATGAGTTACCCTCACAACACCAGTCCCACAGTGCTTTACTGAAAAGGGCACATTCCTCACTGCCAACCTTCAGCCTAGTGTTGATATGAAGGAGCCAAACACTATCCTGAGAGACATTACTGATGGAGAGGACTGAAGAAAGAATGTTCACTGAGCTTGGATGTTAGAGTGAGTGCATGAGCATCAGGTGCCCAGCACATCCTCATAAGTGGGTTAATTCTACGAACTACTATCATACCCTCTTCTGTCACAGGCCAGCGTCAACCATGTGAAGGTGGGTGGTAAATCCTAGATTTACAAGTTACCTCATACTGTTGAGCAGCCCCTAATGTCTCTGGTCTCCAACTCCTTCTATAAAATGCTTGTACTAAAGTAGATCCTCTCTAAGCCCCATGTCATTCCACAGGTCTGCAACACATCAGTGCTATTGTCTGAGGAGAGAAACAATTAAGATAAATAAAGCTAATCTTTCACTTAAGGTTGAGAGGGCATCAAAAATACATTTGTTCCTGTTTTAAAATAATTTGGGGGTGTCTGGGTGGCTCAGTGGATTAGAGCCTCTGCTTTCAGCTCAGGTCATGATCCCAGCGTTCTGGGATCAAGCCCTGCATCGGGCTCTCTGCTTAGCAAGGAGCCTGCTATCTCCTCTCTCTCTCATTCTGCCTGCCTACTTGTGATCTCTGTAAAAAGAAAAAAAAAGAAAAGAAAAAGAAAAGAAAATATTTTGTCACTGTATTTGGAAACAGCAGTTACTTCAAATTTGGGCATTCTGGCTAAAGTCCCAGTTATGTGATATAAGATCCCCAGAACTTTCTAAGCTTTAGTTTCTGCTTTTAGAAGAAGGGGCTCATGATTATTATGGTGAATAACAGAAATACTGAATTTCAGTGATGAGCAGAGAAAAAAATGTAAGTTATAAACAGACGATGATGGACCATAGAATGTATTGCAGATTTTAAAAGGGATAGTCAAAGGGAATATTACTAACATTACTATAATGATACTTACAAATAATGTTACAAGAAGAATAAAACATATAATACAAAAATGTTAATAACTCTGCCTACTTAAACTCCAGGAATAATACTAGTGATCATAATACTACACTTAGAATTTAAGGAACACATTAAGAAACATTGGCACCATATGCCACGTGAGTTACATGATTTATCTTAAGTCTCACAAGAACATGAACAGATAGATTCTATTATATTCATTGCCTAACGCCTAGCCACCTTCTTGCCTACTGAAATAACTTAATCATGGTCTCCTAAAATCTTTGTGCTCCCTGATGTCTTTATTACAGGTTAGATCAGCAGTGATGATGATGTGGAAAGAGGTGCCCATGGAAATGGGGAATGGGACAACTGTCCAAGAATTCACCTTGGAGGGGTTTCCTGCCATCCAACACCTGAGAAAGGTCCTCTTCCTGGTGCACCTGTTGGCCTACCTGGCATCCATTGCAGGCAATGCGGTCATAGTCACCATCACCTGTGCTGACTCCAGGCTCCACACACCTATGTACTTTTTCCTCAGCATTTTCTCCTTCTTTGAGTGTTGTTTTACAAGTACGGTTATTCCTAAGTTGCTGGTTATCTTTCTTTCAGGCAGGCAAACCATTTCCTTTCTTGCCTGTTTCATACAAGCCTTTGTCTTTGTATTTCTGGGAGCAGCAGGATTCCTCCTCATAGCGGTAATGTCTCTGGATCGGTATGTGGCCATTTGCAAGCCTCTGCATTACCCGACCATCATGAACTTGAAGACCTGCTTCCTCCTGGTCACTGCCTGCTTCGCTTTGGCCTTCCCTTTCATCACTGGGCTGGTAGTGAAGGTTTTCCAGTTGTCCTTCTGTGGTCCCCGTATCATTCCTCACTTTTTCTGTGACCTTGCCCCCCTGATTCATCTCTCCTGCTCTGACACCAGCTCCACTGAAATGTTGGCCTTTGTCCTCGCTTTGGTTATCCTTTTGACATCCCTTATCATAACCATCATTGCATACAGCAACATAGTAGTCACAATCATACGACTCCCATCAGCCAAAGAGAAAAAGAAAGCTTTCTCCACCTGCTCCTCTCACCTCATAGTTCTCTCACTGATGTATGGCAGCTGTGTGTTTATATATGTGAAACCAAAGCAAACGAACAGGCTGGACTCCAACAGGGAGGCTGCCCTTGTGAACACGGTGGTGACCCCACTGCTGAACCCTGTCATCTACACTCTGCGGAACAAGCAAGTCCACCAGGCTCTGAGGGAGACAATGTACAGAATGAAAATATCAAGATGAAAAAAATCACCTTTGACTAGAAGACCTTAGAGAACCCATTGTCCTCATTCTGGCCAATGTAGCCATCCACACAGTTGTAGTACAGGGTCGCTAGCAGATCTCACTTGACCTTGCACATCCCTTAAAAAAATGGAAATCTGCTTTTGCAAGGTCACATTTTACCTTGATGCACATGCTATCTTCTCTCTAAATATTCCACATTTTCATGACAATTGATTAACCAAAATATCTTTTGCTGAATTTTTTCTTCCCTCAGATATAAAGATGTGTTTGAAATTTCCAAAATTTTATAATTTATGCACTTTTTTAAAAGATTTTAGTTATTTGACAGACAGAGATTACAAGTAGGCAGAGATGCAGGCAGAGAGAGGAGGAAGCAGGCTCCACACTGAGCAGAGAGCCCGAGCGGGGCTCCATCCCAGGACCCTGAGGTCATAACCTAAGCTGAAGGCAGAGACTTAACCCACTGAGCCACTTAGGCGCCCCTTATGCACTTTTTATCTCACTTCTCTCTAGCCATAATCATGGCACAATGGATTGATGATTAACCAAAAGGCATTTAGATAATTAAATGACAGAAGGTTGTTTATTACTTTCTGGTTATGAAGGAAAAGATGGGAATACTACCGATACTTCGGTCCACATTCCCTTCATGCCTAGCCTAAAGAAACAATGGTCATAGTACAATTCACCTTGGAATATATATGGTTTGCCTCAGGAGTGCTCTGAAATGCTGTTTTTGGCCCTCAGCTTAGCTACATAATGCATTTGTCAGTCCCATGCTGGAGGGAAACAGAATTGTTCTCATGCTTAGACCATTCTCTAAAGAGAGAGAATGACTGCACCATGCCATAGCTGACCAGCTCCTATCTCCTAAATTATTTACTCTAGCTCCAGCCTCTCAGATGCATTATGCATATTTATGATTGGTTCCTATCCTAAAGCTGTTACTACAGATGCTTGTGTATATCGGTGGAAGGGAGCACTTATTTCATACTTCTATAATTTCTTCCAAAGATTCAAATGCTTTATCTACTTCATGTTACTAATGAAAATAAATGAATTAAAAATTTCCCTCATTGAATTGTGTTGTCACCTATAAGGTTATCTTCTGTTTGATCATCTATGTTAAAAATTAATATTTCTGGGGCGCCTGGGTGGCTCAGTGGGTTAAAGCCTCTGCCTTCGGCTCAGATCATGATCCTGGGTCCTGGGATCGAGCCCCGCATCGGGCTCTCTGCTCAGTGGGGAGCCTGCTTCCTCCTCTCTCTCTGCCTGCCTCTCTGCCTACTTGCAATCTCTGTCAAATAAATAAATAAAATCTTTTTTAAAAATTAACATTTCTATTATCTCCATCCTTATAACTTGTACTTTTTCCAACTATTTGACAGCTAGAATGTATCTATTTTTTTAAAATTTATTTGACAGACAGATCACAAGTAGGCAGAGAGGCAGGCAGAGAGAGAGACAGGAGGAGGAGGCAGGCTCCCTGCTGAGCAGAGAGCCGGATGCGGGACTCAATCCCAGGACCCTGAGATCATGACCTGAGCCGAAGGCAGAGGCCTCAACCACTGAGCCACCCAGGCGCCCCTATCTATTTATTCTTCAAAAGAAACCTCTCTAAAATGATTAGGACAATTTTTTATTTTGTTTCTCTTTAACCAAACCCTGAGTTTAGATAATCTCATATATATTTTATGAAACACATCGTACACCATGATTAGATACTATTTGGCCTGCATGGTCCTATTACCAAGATCAGAATTCATCTGATTGATAGTAAGGAAATATCAAACATGTCCTAAAAAAGATCTCAGATGATTGGCTGTTATCCATTCTATAAAAAGGGGTTTGGAAAAGCCAGGATCAGAGTAGGAAAGTGTATAGAGAGTGTTACAGGAATTGGAAGAAAGAGAATGATGGTTTAGGGAAGTGGCAGTGGGAATGGAATGTAAATGGACCGAGTAGACTCTGAATCATTTGCACTGAACAAGCCTGGTGCTTGTATTGAACAAGCCTGGTGCTGCTGTCAACTAACTGGTCAACTTCCAAAAACACATAAGTCACCTTCTCCGTAAAATATGGAGACTGAGCCATATAATCTCTAGAATCCACTTGACAATACTCATATGCATAGCAATAAGATGCTGCATGAACATGGAAATAGTTGTCTGCCCTGAGAATTGAATTATAGAGGAATGTTGTGAAGTGGTCAAAGTTCAGGAACGTAGAGAATAAATCAAAGAACCGTGGTCAAAGTAATGAAAAGAATGTGAGCCTTCCCAAGGTTTTAGTCAGAATTTGTAATAATTTATTACACATAAACTAGACAAATGCACTTTACATTACTTTGGGATAGACTATGATTGAACAGTGAACTTGACAAACACAAAAACGAATACCAGAAATCTAAAATTTAGTCTCTAAGTCCAGGATGGTCATTACCAGCCATAGATCATAATCAGTGAAGGAAAAACTCAAATCCTAACGTGGAGATTAATGCACTAAATTGTGGTACTATAAAATGTTTTATTGAGACAAATCCCCTGAATAATTCTGTGTTGAAGATACATCCAATCATAAAAGTTAAACCACTTAATTGATTAATGATGGTCATACAAAAAGCTGTAGATAGTTAAAGAATAGAACCTGATGTGTTCAGAGATATGTATACCCTCTTGAAACCATCACTACTACCATTACCATACCTATCTGCCACCTCCAAAAATTTCTTCCTAGCTACTTTTGTTGATTTTTTTGTCATTACATGGTAGGCAAAAGCACTTAATTTAAGATATTCCCTCTTGGTCAGTTGCTGAGTGTCTGCCTTCAGCTCAGGTCATGATCCCAGGGCCCTGGGATTGAGCCCCATATTGGATTCCTTGCTTGGCGGGAAGCCTGCTTCTCTCTTTGCCACTCCACCTGCTTGTGTTCCCTCTCTCACTGTGTCCCTTTCTGTCAAATAAATTTTAAAAATCTTTAAAAAAAAAAAAAAAGAAAAAATGAAAGTAGACCAAAAAATTTTAAAATACATATGAAAAGTATACACACACACACACACACACACACATATTTTTTAATTTATAATAAGATTTTAAAAAGGAATGGAAAATATAATAAATGAAAAAATAATAAAAATAAAGGAAATTTTAAAAAGTGAAAAGGAAGCTCAAACCTGTATCCTCTAGAGCTGAAGCTTTACAGCACTCTGATCAATAAACTTGGTGTGAGCTAGTTGTTTGAGTTGTTTGTGCTGGTCTACTGGAGGAGGGGCCAATGGCACTGATTCTTAGGATGACTTGTGTATGACGTGTTTCAGTGGAAATGCTTCTCAAGGAGTGGTGGGGGGTGGGCAGGGATGGGAACCCTTGTGGTATACACAGCTCCAGCCTCCACTAGGTAGTGCTGTTTTCTCCCTAAGTCTTTCGGCAGTGATGGGCTGGATGACAATGGCTGCCTCCTACTCTCTAGCCTCAGAGCTGAAAGATTCATGTCCCTATTCCAGTGAGCCCTCACAGGAGAGTCATCAGTCACCCTATTTGTTTCCCCAGTTTCCACCTGAACCCAGCCTTCACCCTGTCAGTGCCCCAACCTTTTTATCTCAGGTGTGTAACAAGTTCCAAAACTCCAAATTCAGGGATGCTTACAGCACAGACCCCCAGTGTTCCTCCAAGGGAAGGCCTCACCATGCCTGCTAGGTTTGCAGTTTATAGCAGAAAGCTGACACCAAGATCCTGTGCTCTTTACTAGCTTCCCAGACGCTATGCCTGGGAATAGTGTCACACCTTGGTGCCACCAAATCTTCTCGTGACCCCAAGGCTTCTCAGACCATCCTTTCATTCCTGGGATTCTGCCCCTCTTTGCCACCTGAGGACCTTTAATCCAGGCACAATTCTTCTCAAGGTAGTAAATTTTTAAAGTTCAGATTTTTTGCTCCACCACTTCTAATACTTTGCAGTAGCCTCTAAGCAGGATCCTTCCCCAACACTACCTCCCAAGTAACTTCCACACCTTCTATCTTCCAAAAGGTGGTAGCTTTTCTATGTATAGACTTCCAGTTTTTGTTCTCTCAGACCTCTGATTGACTTCTTGGTGTTCAGAATAATTTGACAACTATCTAGCTGTGTTTGAGGGACAAGACAAGCCCAGCATCCTCCTGCTCCTCTACCATCATAACTCCCCTTGTGAACCGACTATTTTATCATTATGTTATCCTTCTCTTTAAGTCTTCATAATTATCTTTGCTCTGAAGTGTATTTGTCTTATATTAACATAGCTACTCTAACATTATTTTGATTAGCATTTGCATGCTATGTCCTTTTCCATTATTTTACTTATAACTACTTATATGATTGTATCTCGTTAGTTTTGTACAAACCACATTTAGTTTAGTCATGTTTTATTTGTTCTTTTCTATGTTTTCAATCTGACAGCCTCTGTCTTTTTATTGTTGTAAAAAATACATAATATAAAGTTTACCATCTGAACCCTTTTTCAGTGTACGGTACATCAGTATTAAATATATCTACATTGTTGTGTAGATATAGTTAAAAAGCTCAAGATCTCTTGAGCTTTTTCACCTTGCAAAACTCAAACTCTGTATCCACCAAAGATCTCCCTTTCCCCCTCCTCCTGTCCCTGTCAACCACCATCCTACTTTCTATTTCTGAGAGTTTGAGTACTTTAGATACTCCATATATAAGGAACCTTGCAGTATTTCTTATGTCAATCTCTTTTAGGTCGGTGAGATTAGGTCATTTCCACTTAATGCAAATATTGGTATCTTTAGTGGTATCATTTTTAAATGTGTTTTTAAGTGTTTTTTCCTGTTTATTCTTCCTTCATGTCCTCAAATCCAGCCTTCATTTGAGGTCTTAGAATATTGCTATTATTCTATTTTAATTCATCGGGCTTTTAAAAATAATATCTATTGGTATAGATTTCTTTAGCTGGTTACTAGGAAAATTACAGTTTACATTTTAACTTTCCATAATACAAAT